CCAGTGTTCTTGCCTGGAGAATCCCAGGGACAGAGGAGTCTGGTGGGCTGCGGTCCATGGGGTTGCAAACAGTAGGAACAACTGCAGGAACTTAGCAGGCACCCAGTATTATTTAGGTCTGTCCACGCTGCTGCAAATGGCATTTTCTGTTTTATGGTTGAGCGGTATTCCATTGTTTATATATACCACATCTTCTTAATCCAATCTTCTACTGAAAGCACTTGGGTTGCCTCCACGTCTTGGCTATTGTGAATAGTGCTACTGTGAACACTGGGTGCATATATCCTTTCAAATTAGTTTCTTTTTTTTTTCAGATGTATACTGAAAAATTTTACCTATACTCTTTGGTTCCCTTTCTATGTGGAGCAAAAGAAGATGATCTGGGGGTGGGTGTCCAACTGTCCTAAGGAAGCTGACCCTAGTAAAACGTTAGCCAACAGGAATTCTATGGCCCACACCTGGTGGCATATATACCCAATGGGGTATTACTCAATCATAAAAAGAATGAAATAATGTCATTTGCTGCAAAATGGATGGACCTAGACACTGTCATACTAAGTGAAGTAAGTCAAACAAATATCGTATCTATCACTTATATATATGTGGAACCTAAAAAATGATACAAATAGTCTTTTTTACAAAACAGAAACAGACTTACAGACATAGAAAACAAATTTATGGTTACCAGAGGGGAAAGATGGGGGAGTGAGAGGTAAATTAGGAGTTTGGGATTAACAGATAAAATCCCATGAATGGAGGAGCCTGGTGGGCTGCAGTCCATGGGGTCGCTAAGAGTCGGGCATGACTGAGAGACTTCACTTTCCCTTTTCACTTTCGTGCATTGGAGAAGAAAATGGCAACCCACTCCAGTGTTCTTGCCTGGAGAATCCCAGGGACGGGGAGCCTGGTGGGCTACCGTCTATGGGGTCGCACAGAGTCGAACACAACTGAAGCAACTTGGCAGCAGCAGCAGCAGCACTATTATATATAAAATAGACAACCAACAAGCACCTATTGTAGAGCACAGAGAACTATACTCCATATCCTGTAATAGCCTATAATGGAAAAGAAACTGAAAAAGAATAGATATATGTATATGTATAAGTGAATCACTTTGCTGGACACCAGAAACTAATACAACACTGCAAATCAACTCTACTGCAACTTTTTTTTTTCTACTGCAACTTTTTAAAAATTTTTAATAAAATTTTAAAAAATCATTCCTCTGATAAACAGCACCTTTAACAGGTGATCAAGGTCCACATCAAAAGTGGCAAGTCATGTTGATGGTACAGACCCTCAAAAGATGTGGGGAAAATGACACTTAAACTCTGCAGTCTTCCTCCCCAAAATCCATAACCCCAGTCCAATCATCAGATGAGCACCAAATAAATCTCAACTGAGGAACAGTCTATAAAATTCCTGACCAATGCTCCTTGAAGCTGTCCAGATCAGAAAAGCAAGGAAAGCCTGAGAAACCGTCAGAGCAGAGAGGAGCTTTAAGAGAGAGGATAATTAAACACCATGTGGTGTCCTGGATGAGATCCTCAAACCAATAAACAAAAAGATAATAGGAAAAACGTATGGAAATCTAAATAAAACATGAACTTCAGTTAATAACGATGTATCCACCTGGGTTCAGTAGCTGTGTCAAATGAAATATTTTGATGTATGAGGTTAATAATAAGGGAACTAGGTATGGGGCTTGTGAAAATTCTCAGCCTTCTGTATCTGCAAAGTAGAATGAGAAAGGAAAAGAATCATTTCCAGAGGACTTAATATTCCAGGTCCTGTGCTAGGAACACTATATACATTGTCCAGCTCACTCATTACCACCACTAACTGAGGTTGTTATTACGACCCCTACTTTACTCACAGAAAAATTGTTAGCATTTGTCAAGTGCTCCCGCAGTGCCAGATTCTATGCTGAGCCCTGGATGTGCATCACCTTGCTTCCCTCACAATATCCTATATTAATATTTCCTCTTTCACAGACGAAAAACCTGAGATTCAGAGAAGTCACTTGACCAAGAGGCCATACTGTGCACAGGGGGAGGCTGAATTCAAGTCCGCAAACCTGCACGCTCCCCATCACGTGTGTTTCTCAGGTGTGACCTGAGGTCACTTCCTCCACCAGCACCTGGGTGATGTTAGAATGCAGATTCCCGGGTGCTGTCCCAGCCACCCCCACGCAGGGTCCCAGCAGGTGCGGGGAAAGGCCCCTGACTCCAGCTCCATGCTGGGGATCCCAGTCTTTGGCTGCCTCTCAGATATCGCACTAGATTTTGCTTTCTGGGTTATCATTAGTGGATATTGTTGGTTGTGCATGTGTGCTAAGTCGATTCAGTCGGGTGTGACTCTTTACAAACCTATGGATGGTAGCCCACCAGGCTCCTCTGTCCATGGGATTCTCCAGGTAAGAATACTGTAGCGGGTAGCCATTTCCTTTTCCAGGGGATCTTCCCGACCCAGGGATCGAACCCACATCTCTTATGTCTCCTGGATTGGCAGACAGGTTCTTTACCCCTAGAGCCACCCGGGAAACCCACTGTTGGTTAGACAAATCTACAAGTCTGTGTAAGTTAAGGAACAGCTTCATCACCCATCACTAAATTACCAGTCTCTGATCCTCCAACTGATTCCAGGAGCTACTCTCATCTCAGTTTTTAAGCTCTCCTAGACCTGTTTTCTTTTACAATCAGAAGCATTTTTTTTTCCAAGCCCAGGGTTGATGGTACCATATCTACTAGCATGCCAGTATTAATTCTGCAACTCTATCTGAAACACACAGTGTTATGCCAAAAAAAAAAAATCATTATGCTATCTTCTGGTTTTAACAACTTGCTCAAAGTTTGCCACCTCTGTGCTCCCGGAAGGAAACAAAGCAGAAAAATCAATCAGTCGAAGAACAAGAATTGACTGCAGTTTTGAACAGCCACTTCCTGGGAACGAACAAAGTGCTATGGTCTTGAATAGCACTTCAGTGGCAACTGGATGGTGGGGCGTTTGGGGGAGAATGGACACATGAATATGCATGGCTGAGTCCCTTTAGTGTCCACCTGAAACCATCACAGCACTGTTAATCATCTGTATTCCAGTCCAAAACAAAATGGTTTTTTTTTTTTTTTTTGCACTTTGTTTTATCTGGCAGCCACTGATAAATGAATCTTAGCCAGGGCTGGTGGCAGGCACGGAACCATCTCTCTACCAGACTGGACTGAGCTGTCTGAGGTTTTCTCATCTCTAAACAGTAAGGCAGTCTTCTAAACATCTATATGGCTGAGACACATTTCAAGAGGAAATATTTTATACCTACCATGTTTTCTTTCCTCACCGTCATAGTTAGAAATGCTAACTCAAATCAGGACTAATCTACTTAGCAATCTGTGTAAGCATATTAATTACTACAATGAACAGACTTTGATGTCTGACTGTGGCTTCCAATGACAGTAAGGGGAGTCAGTGCTTCCTATCTCACTGTGACATGCTTGCTCAGATAAAGGAAGAACAGCGGGGTATAGCCCTCGAGGAACTGGATCAATGTAGACACTATAACTCCAACTTAGAATCGTGACCCAGGGGTCCTACAAACAGTCATTACAAATCCACAGGGATGATAACAGCTGTTCTCACCATTCACCTCTGGTAGCATCATCCGTGAGAGCACATGCAGGAAATGAATGTTTAATAGCCTATTACACCCCTCCCCTGGGTCACCCAGAAAGACCCAAGTGCTGTCACTAGGAAGCGGGTCTTATTTACAGCATCAGGAGGATGGCAGTGTCGCATCTGGGGTGGGCTGGGACAGAACATCACAGGGCTGAGCATCTCTGCTCACACCACCTAATCCAGATTCTTGACAATAATCACAACAATACATCTGTGATACCCTAATTATGCTGTTTCTCCTTATCTTGACATTCAGACGCTGGGACAAAAGAAGATGTATTCCATGTAAACCAATTATGGGGAACAGAGGAATTTAACAAGATAGCAACGTATGCCAGGTGAGCAGCCAATTATAAGCTTTTCTTAATTACTATGAGCCAAATATGAGCTATCACAGACTTGAGAGCACTCCTAAATCCTGGATGTGAGTTTCTTTTTAAAAGCATAGTAGCGGGAAAGTCAAGCTTTCTTTCACTAGATGGGATTTTCAGGGACTCACAACAGTTTACCATAGCAGAGGAAGGAAGGTTTCTCAAAGAGCTGGGACATCCGCCAAGCAGTGGTTTCCGTGCAAAGGCATGCGGCTGGGGTCCCCGTGGGGACAGTGCTGGACCTGGACCCACCACCCCGCAGGGGAGGGAGCACCCAGGTCAGTGGATGCTACCTGTGCTTCTGAGTTCAGGGGAGGGATGTCGGAGCACCAAGAGATCGGTACTGGGGAGGCCAGAGTTTCAGGTATAAGTAAGCCCCCCAAATGAGATAAAAGGTAATGATACACTTGAAAGTGTGGGATAGGAAGAGATCTGCTTCATGTAAAAAGAATAATGATCCATGCTCACATAACCAATGTTTCCAATAACAGCTACCATCTATGAAGCAATTTCTATATACCAGGCACTGTTGTAAGCCCGTGACTTGGATTATTTTAACCTCCATAGGCATTTTTACTATCTTTATTCACACACAGGGAAACTGAGGCATGGAGAGCTCACTTTCCATTCAGGGTCCAAGCTTCAGACACAGGAACCAGGAAACCAACGCAGGCAGCCTGATTGCAGACTCTGCCGACTTCCCTACTGGCTGCCACGCCTTTCCTGAGACAGTTCAGTGAGATGCAAAAGGCCCTCCACACAGGATGGTCCCCAGACTGGCCCCTCCCCACCACCATTCCCATCACAGCCTCAGATCTCCCCTGAACCTGAACACCATGCGTTAGTACTTCCATTTGACATTCAATATATATGCATATTGTTGTATACATTTGAACTGCTTTTGGTCATTCCCCATCTTCAATGCAAGCGGACCAGACAAGCCTGTCAGCGGACACTTACGTGGATTGGCGAGGCGGGGTCAGGCTGAACACTCTAGAACACAAATCAGAAGTGTCTGGGTCATCATCTCATGATTTCAAGGCTACATTAATGATGGTAAGAATTAGATGTGGTCTTGCCTTTAACAGGGAATACTGGCAGCTGGCCATGACGAGGCAGAAGAGGAGCGCCCACATGTCTTTGCAAAAGCCTTGGTTCAACGTCAGAAATCCGAGCAGGGAGACCAGGATAATGAGTAAAACTGCAAGCACATTTTCCTTGACATCTTCAGTTCTGAGCAAAATAAACAAATAAAAGGAATACTGAAACTCCATCTAAAAATCTTAATTTATCTACTTAAAAAGTAATAGCAATATATAGTGGAACTATATATAGTATTGTTCTGTATTTTCCTAGTCTCCTGTAAATGTGTTATCACATTTCATAATTTTAAAAAATTTAAAAAACAAAGGGAATAAAAGGTAAGGTTGTCTGTTTTTACCAGGAGAATACCTGCGTGCTTCTAAAATGACTGTCAGCAGAGAGTACTTATCCCAAGCTTTAATGTTGGGTAACAAGATTCTACAGTTTCTTTCTTTCTTGCCTTATTACTGCATTCTACATTTTTTTTAAAGCCATATTTAACCCCCACTTTCTGTTATTGAAACAAGTGAAATATAATCCCTTTGGGTGTCCCTGGCCATTAAACCAGGTTTACTGGGAGAAGACTGTTAACCATTCCATCCACCACAGTGAAATGTGTTTCAGAAAAGAAGCTTCACTGACTTCTTTAAGTGGAGGAAGGGGGTACACTACACGTGACTAAAGCAGACAATCCCTTCCACATATAGGCACAGTGGCCAGAATTGGCTGCTCCGTTTCAGAGGCCAGGAGAGCTCCAGCCAGGGAGCTGTCAGTGCAGCGGGTCTGACCCATGTGTCACTGGGTGATCTCTCCAGAGACGCCACGTGAGACGTGTGGGGCAGAGAGAGGAGCTCATCCAGACATCGGGTGTTATCAGCGGGTGTGCAAAGGGACAAGAAAGGGATGCCAAGATGCTGATATAAAGGGGCTGAAGGCAGGATCACGGGGGAGGCGAGGGCTGCTAGTGGGAGGAAGTGGGTCCATCAAAGTGCAAGAGGGGATGTGGAGACACTGGATGGAGGTAGAGAGAAAGCAAATTCCCTGGTGACTCAGATGGCAAAGAGTCTGCCTGCAGTGCGGGAGACCCAGGTTCAATCACTGGGTCAGGAAGAGCCCCTGGAGAAGGAAATGGCAACCCACTCCAGTATTCTTGCCTGGAGAATCCCAGGGACAGAGGAGCCTGAAGGGTTATGGTCCATAGGGTCGCAAAGAGTTGGACAGGACTGAAGACATCTAGCATGCACGCATGCAGAGGGGATGTGAAGAATGAACTGAGGCTGGGACTATGACATCAGAGGTGGAAGGCTTCTATGAGAGGATGAGATGCAGGGTGGAGTTACAAGAGGGAACAGTTGAAGTTAAGGGAGAACAGTGTGGACCCCAAGGTCAAGCGTTTAGATGGACTAATCACTAGAATTCTGAGTGAAGTGAAGTGAAGTCGCTCAGTCGTGTCTGACTCTTTGTGAAACCCTGGACTGTAGCCTACCAGGCTCCTCCACCCATGGAATTCTCCAGGCAAGAATACTGGAGTCGGTAGCCTTTCCCTTCTCCAGGAGATCTTTCCAACTCAGGGACTGAACCCAGGTCTCCCACATTGCAGGTGGATTCTTTACCAGCTGAGCCACAAGGGAAGCCCAAGAATGCTGGAGTGGGTAGCCTATTCCTTCTCCAGCAGATCTTCCCAACCCAGGAACTGAACAGGGATCTCCTGCATTGCAGGTGGATTCTTTACCAGCTGAGCTATCTTACATTGCCTATTTTTGTCCATGTACCTATTGGTCTTTCCCATTAAATTATGACCATTTTTAGACAGGAACAGTTGGCTACTTCATCCTTGGCATGCTCAGGCACTCCAGAATGTTTTTCTTTAATTAATGGATTTTATTTTTAAAGCAGCTTTATTTTTTTAAGATTTTTTTTATGTGAACCATTTTTTAAATCTTTATTGAATTTGTTACACTATTGCTTCTGTTGTTTATGTTTTGGGTTTTTTGGCCATGAGGTATGTAGGATCTTAGCTCCTCAATCAAAAATCAAATCCCCACTCCCTGCCTTTGAAGGTGAAATCTTAATCACGGAACCACTATGGAAGTCCCTAGAGCAGTTTTAGATTCACAACAAAATTGAGGAGAAAGTGTAGAGTTCCTACATAGCTCCTCCCTCCAAATATACACCCACCTTCCCCCACCATCAGCATCTCCCAGTAGAGTGCTACATGTATTTTAACTGATGAAGTAACACTGACAAATCATTACCAACTCAAATCCATAGTCTACATTATGGTTCCTTCTTGGTGATGTGCATTCTATGGGTTTAGGCAATGCTGTAACGATACATATCCACCATTACTGTATTATGCAGAGTATTTTCACTGCCTGAAAAATCCTGTGTGCTCTGCCTATTCGCCCGTCCTCTCTAACGCCTGGTAACCACTCATCCTTTTACTGGCTCCATAGTCCCGCCTTGTCCAGATTCCACAGTGAAATCATATAGTATGCAGCCTTTTCAGGTTAGCTTCTTCCACTTAGTAACACACACTAAAGGTCCTCTATATGTCTCTGCATGGCTTGATAGCTCTTTTCTTTCTACTGCTCAACAATACCGACAGACCACAATTTGTTTATCCATCACCTATCAAAAGACAGTTACTTCCAAGTTTTGGCAATTATGAATAAAACATCTATAAACGCAGGTTTTTGTGTGGAAGTAAGGAGCATGACTGGTAGGTCAAACTGTACTCATGTGTTTAATTTGTAAGAAAACGCCGAGCTGTCTTCCAAAGCGGCCGTACCACTTTGTAATCCCACCAGCAATGACACGAGAGTCCTGCTGCCCCACACCCTTGCTGGCATTTGCTAGTATCAGTGTTTTGGATTGGGCCTTTCTGAGAGGGGGCTTCTCTGATAGCTCAGTTGGTAAAGAATTCGCCTGCAATGCAGGAGATCCCGGTTCAATTCCTGGGTCAGAAGATCCGCTGGAGAAGGGATAGGCTGCCCACTCCAGTATTCTTGGGCTTCCTTTATGGTTCAGCTGGTAAAGAATCTGCCTGCAATGCAGGAGACCTGGGTTCGATCCCGGGGTTGGGAAGATTCCCTTGGAGAAGGGAAAGGCTACCCTCTCCAGAATTCTGGCCTAGTCCATGGGGTTGCAAAGAGTCAGACATGACTCAGCAACATTCACTTTCTAATAGGTGTGTGGTGGCATCTCATCATTGTTTTAACTCACAGTGTCCTAATGATACACAATGTGGAGCATCTTCTCACACATTTATTTGCCATTTGTATATCTTCTTTGGTGAGGAATCTGTTCATAGTCTTTCCCCATTTTTTAATCAGGCAACCAAGAGGTACAGAAGTACAGAAATGTAAAGAACTCAAATATTAAGATGCTCATGTTGAAAACTTTTTTAAAAACTGGGGGAGGGACAATAGGTATTTGGTGAAAAGTGAAATTTATGTATTTTTTATTCTCTACTATGTACTTTTTATAGAGCTAAAAATATTTGTTTATCCAGTTCAGGTCTATAAAATACATTATGTATTCTTTAGCTTGCTCATAACATTTTGAGGTATCTATCTAAGACTATCTAAAGTCTTAGGAATAAGTCTTAGGAAATAAATAAGTCTTAGGAAATAAAACAAAAATTTCAACTAAAAAAAACAAACTTTTTCTATTTGGAGAGAAAAAATAAAGTTCTTAAAAAGTAGTTTTTCCCAGGTCCTCCTCCACCAGGACGCCACTCCTCTACCTCGCCACCATCACTCCCCTCCCACGGTTCCTCATAAATATTGGGTGAAGAAGTTTGCTCACTGGGCAAGGGGTGTCATGATTAAGGCCATACTTTATAAAGATTTATCTTGCAGAGGTTAACAAGACGCACTGAAGGGAAAGGATAAACAGCACTCCCAGAGAGAAGAAACCAGAGCCTGGGAAAGTGACACAGCTGTAAAGTTAAAGGGGACATGTGACTTTCAGACACAGAATAGAACAGGGCAGAAAAGACTCTGTGATTGAACGGATTATGGGCCATAAAAGAGTGAAAGAATAAAGATGACTTTCAGCTTTCAATCTGGGGGAAAAGGCTCATAATGGCAGAAACTGGGAAGGAGTGTGCTAAGGGAAGCTGATGCATTTGTTCATGTAACATAAGTGCTGGGAATACATCAGTGAATGAAACTCATGAAGCCTCCTTTCAGTGGGCAGTGGCATAAAATAAGTAACACACACAGAATAAGAACATGATAGACTATTGGAAGAGGATTAGTGCAACAGAAAAATGAAAAGAACAAGCTGAGAGGAGTTGTGAGCGTGCGGACAGAGACCTGCTAGGCTTTAAACAGGAAGGTCAGGCTAACTCTCTCTAAGAAAAAGCATTTGAAAGACAAAAGGGTCAGCCGGGCGGTCATCAGAGGGAAGCGCGCACCAGGTGGAGGGAACAGCCAGCGCAAAGGTCTTCAGGCTGGAAGAGGGCCTGGTGTGGTGACCAACAGGAAGACCAAGAGGCGACCAACACTCTGCTGTGCTAAGAATAGTATGCAGCGGGGTACTGGGGGAAATGTAAACTGGTGCAGCCACTATAGAGAACAGTATGGAGGTTCCTTAAAAAACTGAAGACAGAGCTACCAGACGGTCCTGTGATCCCTTTCCTGGGCATATATCCAGAGAAAACCATAATTCAGAAAGATACATGCACCCCCAGTGCTCACAGCAGCACTATTTACAACAGACAGGACATGGAAGCAGCCTAAGTGTCCACTGACAGATGAAAGGATAAAGAAGATGTGGTGTGTGTATATATATATATGATGGAATACTACTCAACCATAAAAAAGAACAAATAATGCCATTTGCATCAACATAATGGACCAAGAGATTATCATACTATGTGCAGTAAGTCTGACAGAGAGATAATTATTATATCATATCACATATTAGAAATCTAAAATACAGCACAAATGAACTCATCTACAAAAGAGAAACAGACTCATACACAGAAACCAGACCTGCAGTTGCCAAGGGGGAGTGGGGTGGGGGAGGGATGGATCGGGAGGTTGGGTTTAGATGCAAGCTATTTTATACAGGAGCGACAGACAACAAGGTCCCACTGTTCAGCACAGGCAACTCTGGTCAATACCTTGTGATAAACCATA